TCACACAATTTATATAAATTGTGAAAACCTCACTATTCAGTTTTCAAATTAGAAAACTTCTATATTCTATGCATGACTCTTTTTTGTTAGTTATGGGCATCAGATCTACTTAACTATTTTATACCTCAAATTTTGAGAAAACTTATGTACTCTATATCTGGTTCTCTAACATCATAATAAATATTTATCTTATCATCTTTATAGTCTCTATAGAGTTTATTATAATAAGTTGAGTCTTATAGATGTTATACCAGACAGCCTGAGCTTTATTCAATATCTTAATTACTTTTATAGATATCTCTGATTAATTCTAATCTAGTTGGAATACCAGTTTGTAGAAAATACTATTTACTGTAGTACCTGAGTTTAATAATACAGCTTGTTTTATAAAACCATTTGATAGTATAGTTAGTGTGGTTTACAAATATATACTGTATCTGCTTGCTTTCTCTATTAGAATATTGGACTTGCTTAGCTTTTTCATATCTTCCAATTCTGGAAACACCCATGAAACCTATGTTTGGTTCTCTAACATGGTAAAAATTGATGGTGAAAATTGATGGTCAAAATTGATAGCTAAAGTTGAGAGAAAAAATTGACAACAGTCAAAATTGATGGCGAAAATTGACAACCCAAATTGATGATGGTCAAAATTGACAACCAAAATTGATGGTCAAAATTGACAGTCAAAATTGACAACCAAAATTAACAATCAAAATTGACAATGGTCAAAATTAACGGTCAAAATTGATGACCAAAATTGATGGTCAAAATTGATAGTTAAAATTGACAACCCAAATTGATGATGATCAAAATTGACAACCAAAATCAATGGTCAAAACTGACAACTAAAATTGATGGTCAAAATTGACAGTCAAAATTGACAACCAAAATTGACAACCAAAATTGACAACTCAAATTAACAATGGTCAAAATTAACAACCAAAATTGACTGTTAAAATTGATGACCAAAATTAACAATGATCAAAATTAATGGTCAACATTGATGACCAAAATTGATGATGATCAAAATTGACAACCAAAATCAATGATCAAAATTGACAACCAAGATTGACAATGATCAAAATTTACAGTGAAAATTTACAGTCATAATTGACAACTGCCAAAATTGACAGTCAAAATTAGCAGCTAAAATTTACAGTGAAAATTGATGATCAAAATTGATGTGAAATTTAACAACTAAAATTAACTATAAAAATTAGCAGTCAAAACTAACTTAAGAAGCCAGTACTATCACAATTATATATTCTCTTCTGCATGATAAGTGATCTGCTGTGATACTTGATCTAAATGCTCAATAATCTTTTGACTTTGTACCTGTGTTTTCTCAAACTCAGACTGATTGAACACTTGTATTGTTTGCCCTCTCTCTACAGCTTTGCACTAATATATTTTTATGGCAGTTCTGTACTGATTGTAATAAAAGATCTCTATCTTTATAACTTTTAACTGCTACTACATATGTCTCTGATGCTGTGCATGTTTTTCCTGCTTTCTCATCAGACTTTCTGAATCAGAATTCTCTTCAAGATTCATTCTGATCAGTCTTGATCAAGATGTATCAGATTGCTATTGAGCTGGAACTAAGAGTGAGACTGCCAGGATTAAATTATTATTGAAAGATTCATACTCTGAACCTGCTGTCTCTCTGTCTCAACAAGAGCCTAAATGTACAACACAAGCTGAGATGTAAGTTATGTGCAGTTAGTATGCAGCTGGCTTGCAGATTAGCCCTCTTTCTGTATGAATAAGTGCAGGACATAATATTCAGTCATAGTGATCTGAAGATAGTAGCCTAGCTTGCTGGAATGCACACCAACAGCCAGCAAAAAAACTGCTTGGTTGGGAGACTTTGCTGTAAAAACAGAATACTGACCCTGTTCAATAGCAAGCCAGGCATCAAGATTGCTGAGAACTAAGACAAGAGCCACATTCAGAGACAAAGATTAACTATCAGCCTTTTAATCTACAAGAGACAGCTTATTAATCATGTCTGGCTTAATAATGATAAGTTCTGGCCAGTACTGCTGAAGATAGTTAACCAGTTCTGAATAGATGCTAGGTCAGCTTTACAGTTTCTCTTTCTTTCCACATGCCCAGAAGATTACTGTGCTTGAATAGAGCAAGATCCAGTAACTATAAATGAAGATCTGCTTCACAATTGTCCATCACTTACAGGCCTGCTGAATCTCATACATGTGGACAATGATATTAAAGAACTGGTGAAAGAGGATCTGGTACTACTTTAACTCCCAGTATTTATATAGCCAGTCACTGTTGTTTCCATCACCATCCCAGTCCTAGAGCTATATAAAGAGTATCTCAATGTTTCTAACTTTCATTCTGAAGTCTGTAATGAACTAGATGTCTTTCTGAAAGTAGAAATGTTGAAAAACTTGTGAGATACCAGCACAGATGAGTGAGATATCACTATTGCACACATTCTCAAGCCTAGCAGAATGAAGTGACTGCTGAATAATATAGTTAGCTAGGCTTCTGAACATATTCTTCTGGAAGACTCTCAGACAGAGAGTCACTAGCAGCTGCAGCAGCAGTACAGAGTAAGCAGAGTCTAGATGAATATCTAGCATGCAGCTGGATATATCATGAAAGAGTATAAAGTTGGACTTGAACTCAATCAGTTACTGGTAATGCAGATGATAAGCCATCTATAAAGTTGGTGTGTTAAAGACTATATATATCTGATATGATGGCTTGAATATCATAGCTGTTCAGCCAAGCTTGTCAAGAAACTAGATATAGCTGTACAGCTTTAATATAAATACTATCTCAAGATTCTTCTGAATCTACTCTGTGTCAGAATCTTCTGAAGACAGTTGTATCTGGTAATTAAGTTACAGGCTACTACTGTAACAGAGATGGTTACTCTGACCTTTATATGTACACAGAAGATATTAAAGAAATATTATTATTATCTAAGTATATTTTCAGTGTACTACAGTGTGTGACTGCAGACTGTAGACTATCTCAAACCCAGTACAGAGCTTGTTAATATTCAACTATAGCTACTTCAGAAGCTGGTTGGTGCAATAGTTAAGCAAAAGTACTGAGCATTGAGATATAGCTATGGAATGATCAGCTAGATTACTTTTCTGAAGAATTTGGTCTATGGTCTGCAGAACAGCATCAGTAACCCAGTACTTCTTCTGAGACTTATAGAACTGCTGGCAGCAGTCAGAAATAATGACATGGCACTGTTGCTTGATATGAATATATATGTGCAGCAAGATCAGAGAGAAATAACTGATAATCTTTCTGATATACTGCCAGATCTGTACCAGCCTGGAATCCAGAGTCAATATATTCAGATTCTTATTTGCAAATGGAGAATGCTTACTGGCTGTGAAGATCTTCTTAACAGTGTTGTAGAACTGGCAGTAGAGCAGACTTTGGTGGTGAAGTAGAGAGTACTGGTGCAGCTCTAGTATCATAAACTTTAGATTATACAGAAATGACAGTGAATAAAACTGCTTGCATCAGAACTCTTTCTGTAAATGTTCATGTTCTGAATTAGAAGCCTGAGCATTGACAACTGGTGCACTATCTGCTAAATGTTTATTTAGATTGCTGGTATTCTCATTATCTTTATTTTCATCACTCTTACTAAGCTCTAGCTAGTATGCATCTTTATCTTCACTTCTGAGTACTGACTCTACTGATCTGTGTTGGATGTGACTGAAGTCTGAGATCTCAGATATCATGCTTTGCTAGACATAACTGTAAAGTTGGCAGAACTGCTAAAGCTGGACAGCTGTTACTAAGTGATTATTGTTGATCTGGATCTCTATTGAATTACCTGATAAGTTATCAGACTCAGATAAAGTAAGAGAAGAGATTCTTTATGCAGCTGGTGAATCTCTCAGCCATTTACAGAAATAATTTAGACAGCAATATTATTAGATAAATGTACAAGATATGTATGTTAGCTTCTGGTGCAACAGAAAGCTCCAGAGCAAGACCATCTTCTTGCTAATATTATAAAAGCTAATAATCAGATAGTGCTCATCCAGAGCCTGATTCCATATGCAAAAGAAGGCATTATATATATAAAATCAGATAGCATGCTGGATTGAGAGCTTCAGATTCTTAGCAGTCAGAAGAAGTATAAGTCTCTGAAAATACTGAAGTTCTGAATCTTGAATAATTATCTGTATATACTTTCAGAGATGGTGAAGTTCTGCTGACTGTAGTGAAAAGTGAAACTTCTGCATCTATAGCTGCTTGTGTAAAGTCTGATTACAGTCTTCTGTCTGAGCTACAGTGAAACTAAGCTGGATATATACAGCACTGAATAACAGAAAAAGAAGTATGAATGCAGAGTAAATATAATAAAGAACTGAAAGAAAGATCTTATCTGTTCAGAGAGTATACTTCTGCTCTGTAATAATGTAGTGCTGGTGCTGGAGGCTGAAGAGCTGGAGAAAGAGAATATATATCTTAATCTTAGAGAATCCAATCAGTTGTCCAAATGAAAGATAAGAAATCTGATAGACTGGTTTCTGGAACTGGCAGACTCTTTTGAATTGCTTATCTCTTCACTGAACTGAAATAAGATCTAGATAAAGAAAACTTTTCAGAGTACTTGTCAGAGACTGATTGACTTTTCATTAAAATCTCTTACAGATTACTGCAAGGCTTGAGACTAGACTATCAGTGCTATCAATATTAATTATGGCATGCAGGAATGCTGGCATTGGAATGGTATTATCTTCCAAATCAATAATTACAAAGTGTAAAGGCACTTTCTCATGAGCTAAAGACTCTACTAATACAGATATCCCACTGTATAATCTTTGGTACTGATAAACTAGCAGAATAATATCTCACTGTATAAGATAGAAAGACATGCTGGTGTGCTTTAAGACATCTGAATATTTTCAGCTTGCCATTTGTAAGAGAGACACTATTAGTATGGAAAGTAGCTCTGATGCAGTATAAGTCTTAGTAGAGTACTTATACTAAATCTGCAGCTGTGCCACCAGCTTCTGTACAAGTATGTTGTCTTCTTCTGTTGATTCCACTGTATTTGTGGGCAGGAAGAGTCCATAATCTAATCTTGACTCTGGTATATCAGAGCTGGGCAGACCTGAAGATATTAGCAGTAGTACTGGATTTAGAATATAGTTAGAGATTTAAAATGCTTGATTATCTTATTCTGTTGCAGATAACTAATCATTCTCACTCCTGCTAGATTCTGCTGGTGATGAAAAGCTCTTATACTCTATTTTATCAAACTCAGACTCAAGCAAACTCTCTTCAATTATGTCTGATAACTTAGAGCTTTCATACTCAACAAGCACTATATCAAGAGCTTTCTGTAGATCTGCAAATATATAGAATGAATTCTCAACAGGCTGGGAAAAATCAGTCTTACTTTAGAAATTGCAGGTCAAGAAGATATTCTAAAATAATATTAATATGCTTGCTGATGTGACTTCTTACTGCTGCTGTTGTTGTCTTTAATATACTTGTACTTGTGTCTGAACTATGTCCCTCTTAGTTATATACTTGCATGGCTGCTTATAACTTATACTGACTAAAGTAATTTTCACCAATGTGCTTTCTGGGTGAAGAAATTGTAGAGAATGTGCTGGAATAATATTGAACCTGGAGTATCTGAGCCAGAACCTTGAAATAAATGAGATTTTAGCTGAGCTTACTGAATGAAATAAATACTTATAATAAATTAGAAATACCACTCTTCTGATCATTTCAAGTTTATAAATCTATTAAAAATATCAGTCTCTTTCTTCTGCCAACTTTAAGTCTACAATCAAAGCTCTGTTTTCTCTATTTCTTTATTACAACTATCTCAGATTATCTCTTTAATAGTCTGAGACTTCATTCTAGTTGCTTCTCTTCTCTTCTCTTCTTTGTCCTTCCAGTTGTTGAATAAATTATTATTGATCATGATAGCTTAGAGACATTCCAGCATCTAGCTACAATCTTTCAGCATAGAGACAGAGTTATATCTTCTCAGTACTTTTACTATACTTTAAAGAAAAAAAGCAAGAAGAACATCAAATGAACCTCAGTCCATGCCACCAGTAATGACAGGAAGCAGTTGACACACAATATTGAACAGTTTTCTATCAAGAAACATATCTCTAGATAGTGAGTAACAGCGCTGAATCTTATGATTCTATGTATAGCATTCATTAACAGGTGGTTCTGAATAAAGATCTTGCTCAAACTGCTTCTCCCAATAAGAGTACACTATTTTCAAGTTTTATGAGTGTTCCTGCACATACATCATACTACAGTAAGCCCAATCTGGAAAGCCAGAACTGATAACTATCTAGCTCTTGATCAGTAACACCAGAAGAGATTTTTGCTTTAAAGAATTCCATTTTATATCAGAAGAACAGGCACTCAGAAATAATCTGTCAAGAGAATAGAAAAGAAAAGACATCTAGATTGAGCCAGAGCTCAGTCTTGAAGAACAGCTGCTTTAAAAAACAATCAAGTCTCTTGCTCAGCAGCTCTCAAGTGTCAACACTAACTCAGATATCAGAGAGAGAGAGAGAGACATGAGGACAGTTCTTCTGCTTGACTGACAACTCTTCTGATGCTGACACCAGCTATTTCAGAAACTATTATCAATAATCAAGCATAATTGATTCATTGGCAGCATACTTAACATTGACTTCAGACCTAAATATTGATCTGGATAGATGGGATCACATCAACAACTTAGTATAGAGGGGTTCAAGAGAACACTTGCTTTGTAGACAGCAGAGAGAGATCAGGTGTGTGGAGAAGATAGTAGAAACAAGAGCAAATTGCAAAAGCAGGTATTGCAGATGACCATGCATCTGAATAAGATGGTCTGCTGAAGAGACTGCAAGACTGGTGCAGCTGTAGGAGAGGCATGGCAACAACTGGGCTTTGATTAAAGAGCTGGACAAGGAGATGACCATATCAAAAAGCCCTTGGAGAGGAGTATTGATAATCTCTTGCATGAGATTCATTAACCCCAACAGCATAATTTTATTGGTACTGCCACTGTCAATGCAACACATGCTGATGTGTGCTGTAGCTGGATGAAGAGTTGCAGTAAGAGAATCTTCACAGCAAAGAATGTATTTTTGAATTTGACACCTTTCTTCAGCATCAGATATTCTGTTACTGTATCTTCTGATACATGTATCATATATGCTGTTACCACAGCTCAGCAGCTCCCTGGGCTTTCATTATAGGCAGAACAAGCAGGTCTCATTTGACTTTAGATGTTGCTAATCACAACTCCATTTGACCAGAATTTTGCAGTGAAGGTGGGCAGACAAACCATATTCAAGCAGTTCGCAAAACAGCCAGTCTACCTGCTTCTCAACAAGAATAGTGAGAAAAGTTGCTGCTGGGCCCGAGATGGCTGATTTTTCAATAACTTTGAGTCTTCCCACAATCCATGTGAATTGTGTGATCCTTATACATTCAGAGTTGGGGTCACATGAATACCCTTTAACATCTAATATTGTCTGATGCTTGGTTGGTTTAGGTCTATGTTCATAACACTATCCCCCCCAGAGGCCTCAGATTTCAAGATATAGGGCCACTGAAGTGGTTTTTTGTACATTATTATAGCTCCTCTATTATTGGTGGAGCATTGTAGGTTCTTAGATGTGCAAGCTTCTGCATTACTACTGCTTGTCTATATTAACATTCTGCATGTATATCACCACCAGTTGTAGTAGACATCTTTCATTATAGGATAGCAATTATTTTATTACAAAAGTTCAGCATTTTATCATATATTCATTTCTTTGTTTGTTTGCTTGTCTGATTGCTATATTATTTATTGTCCATTATCATGTTGTTTATCAACAAGTCATGCAACTAGTAACTTTAGTGCATTATGATACAGATATAAATAGAGGTCTCCTCATTCTTATTCTTCTCTTCTTTTTCTTCTACCACATCTTGATAAGAGTGTTGTTGTTTCTTCTATACTACTTTTTATTACCATGTCTTCTTCAAAAAATCCTGTCTCTGATGTTGAAGAGAAGATGTTTCCCTGCTCAGTATACATATATTTGATGTTCACTAATCATTTGGACAAAGCAGAGCTCTGTATATGGAACTCTGAAAAAGAATCTTGTGCTCATTATTTAGAGTGCCAAATCTGTACTTGTTATGATGTAAGTATGTCTTCATCTGTTCTTTCTTGTTAGTTTGATATGGTTATAGGTACCTGAATCTGCTTTTAATGTCATACATCAGCTCTTATATCTTTAAGAAAAGTATCACTTCTTCAATGCTGCAGACTCTCACTATTCATGCAACATGAAGTGTATGAGTATACTCATGCAAGAATTTCATAAGCTTGACTCTGGAGCTGTCAAATATTATTGTTGCCAGACCACTTCTGTCCTTGAAGAATCTTCTATGAAACATCATCATTCTACATCATATCAATAAACTAAAATCATGAATCTTGTGTGCAAAGCCAGATCTGTCAAGAATGATTCATCTGAACTTCTTTATTTGTTAAGTCCAGTTCATACTATCTTATCTTAAGTTGAGAATGAGATTGGAAACATCCATGTCTCACTTGACTATTTTACTACTTATTTGACAAGTGAGACAAAGATTCTTCAAGACAACATAGAAGCCAGTCTTATAAATCTTCTTTATTATCTTTACTTATTCTCAGACTAACTTTTGCTTAGGCCAACCTCATATCTTCTATCAACTATCTAACTGATGCTGTTTTTTCTGGTTTTTATAGCATTATAAAAGCACTTTATTCTTGTCATGATTCTTTGTCTGTTATGTCTTCTTTCATGACTGCACCTTCTATTGTGGCTTTATCTGTTGTTATATCAAACATATCTGCAACTTCTGAGTCTTGCTTGTCTATAGTCAATTTGCCACCATTACAGCTGTATCTCAGGCACTCTTGTGGTACATCTTCTTACTGTTAAATTCTTGATTTTGTAGACACATCATGATCTTTATGTTTGTTTTATGTCATGTCTATGTTTCTTTCTGTATATAGATTCATTTATCTTCTTGTAATTATATTTTTTTCTTAAGTAATTCTTAAGAGCCTCTTGTGCATTTTCAAGACTTTTCTCAGGTTCCCACATCAATTTCTCAATAGAAAATTCTTTTCATTTCACTAGGTAATATCTCTTGTGGTAGCATACTTTGTTATCTAAGATTTCATCTACTTCTCACTCATGATAATCATCTACCAGTACCATGGGAGGACATGCTGGCATCTCACTCTTTCTCATGCAGTACAGTTCTAACAATGAGACATGGAAAATATCATGAATCTGATAGCTCAGAGGAAGCTTCAGCCAATATACATTATTTTCTACAGCCTTTACTATTGAGAAAGATTTATAGTACTTGTCATCTAACTTCTTACAAGAGCATATTATTTATAGATTTCTTGATAACAACATCACTTCATCACCAGATGCATACATCTTGTCTTGACATCTTTAGTTATAGAACCATGCTTCGTTCTCTTTTGCTTTCATCCAACATTCTATCAGACTATCTCTTAATGCAGAGATCATTCTCAGTCTTTCATCAGGCATTGTCTGTGCATCATCATCATCATCAATCAACTTCTGGATCTTATCTAGTTCCCTAGATTTGAAGCCATATATTACTTTAAACAGAGATATGTGCATTACAGAGTGTTCTGACCTGTTGTATGCAAATTCTGCATACACAAGCCACTTCTTTCAATCATCTTGTCTATAACTATAATAGATACAGAGATATCTCTCCAAGATCTTGTTCAGTGTCTCTGTTTGATCATCTATTTGTGAGTGGAATACTGTGTTAAGTTTTTATCTAACTTTTATGTGAAAATATAGCTCTGATCAGTATTCACTTATGAAAAAAAATCCCCAGTTCAAAACAATATTATTTAGAAATCTAAAGTCTTTGAATACTCTTTTTAACAGACAGTTCACCATCTCTGGCATGTCAATCTTCTTTCTACACACAAGAAAACATGCAAGCTTTATAAATCAATCCACAATAACTAGAACTGCATTATATGGATTCCTCTCATCTTTACTCAGAGAGAGATCTGTTATAAAGTTCATGGATATTGAACATCAGGAACTACTGAGTGTCAGCAATGATATAAGCAATCTATATGATTTGTGTGTTGGAGTCTTCCCTCATTAGCAGGTTTAGTATTTGTGTACATATATCTAAACATCTTGTTGCATCAATTACTAATTATATTTTTGCCAGAGCAAGACAAACATCTTTATCACACTAAAGTGACCTGCAAATGGGTCATTATAGTGGACTCATAGTAGTTTCTGCTTTAGAGCCAGATCACTAAGCATATAGATTCTGCTATTCTTTATCAAAAAATCTCATTCATTTATTTTCCACTCTGATTGCTGAGATTCTGCCTCAGCAAATCTTGCTTGTACAGAGAAATCATCTCTCTGTGCCTCTAGCAGCAGATTCAATATGCTTACAGTTGATTTGTTATAGATCTTTTCATCTTTTATTATCATGTTCACATATACATGGGGAATCCAGAATCTTTTGCAATTTCTTTATTGAGCCTCTCCAGCATCTCTGGCTGGTGCTTCATGAACTGATTCAATTATCTTGGTGTCACCAGATTTTCTCTGCACCATCTTTACCTCACTGCTTTGAACAGCACAAGCAGCACATACTTGAATACCTTCTTCATTAAAGAAAGTTTCTTCAAATGGGTCCCACTCTGAAACACTATCTGTATAACATTATTTAAGCATATACATCAGCAGACCAATGTCTTTGTTTAGTTTAATATAATCTGGTCTTTATAATAATACATCAGCTGGATTATGCTTCCCAGGGTAGTAGAGAATCTCAAAGCCATATATCTCAAGAATCTCTATTCATCTTACCTGCTATTATTGTACTATCTTGTTCATGAACTTCATAAATGAACAAAGATTTGCATGATCTGTAATGATCTCTACAGAATACTTCATTTCTTTTAAATGCTGTCACCAATAGATAAACACTCAGACAATGGCCAGTATTTTCTTATCCAGTATGCTATAAACTTATTGAATCTGGTCAAACTTGAATGACCAGTAGATAACTGAGTGCCACCTATCATTAAACAGCTGTAGAAATATCATGCCTGCAGTATGTTCTGAAGCATCCATCTCCAGACATATTCTATATTCTGTATTATAGTGGTGGATGACAAGTTCTCCAGAGAAGGCCACTTTTAATATGTGAAATACTTTCCTGGCAGCAGATATCAGAAGAAATAATGTCTTCTTCTGCTTATTTTCACTGTCTTTCAAGATCTGTCAACAGCACCATGATAACTGAGTACTTTTGTATAAATCTTCAATAGAAGTTCACAAAATCCAGAAATATCTGAATATTATAAAAACTTCATGGCAGAGGCTACTTCATAATCATCTGTATTCACTTTAAGTCCATCTTAATATTTTCATTATCAATGTTATATCTAAGATATGAGATTATTTATCTTTTGAAAGCACATTTAGCAAGCTTTGCAAATAACTGGTATTTTCTTGAACACTCCATAACTAGTCTAATATATTTCTTGTGCTCTCCCTCTAAGACAGAGAAAATAAGAATATCATCTATATAAACTACACAGTATATACCAACCAGACCTGCCAGTACTCTATTGATATAAGACTGGAATAGGCTGGTATTCAGGACTGGAACAGGATCCCATTTCCCATTGAACCTGGTCCTGGTCCCAAATTTAGAAACAGCTGGGATCCCAAATATGAAATCTCAGTCCCATGTCCCATCCCACTCAAGAGCTTGAGGTCCTGTTCCCATCCCTATTCCAGAAATTATTTCCTGGTCCCATCCTCAAATAGAAAATTATGTTCCACATCCCATTCCAGCAGAGATGGTAGACTCCCATTTTCCATTCCAGCCAGGTCCATAGTAGAACCAGAATGGGACCAGGATTTCCAGTCTCATCATATCAAATTTATAGAGAAGAGTCAAACTGATCAAATTTTGTATGGACCATTACCAAATTTCATTACTTTTTTGATGAAGGCGGAACCTATAGAAAAATTAATTTGATTGTCAAAAGAAACAAAGTATTAAAACTAACTAATAGCCAAAGCCAGCAAACAAACAGGAACTGCCTAAATAGCAAGTTAATCATCATCATCATCATCTTTATCATCATTATCATCCTCCTTCTCTCTCTTCTTCTTCTTCTTCCACTTCTTCTTCTTCTTCTTCTCCTTCTTCTCCTTTTGCTTCTCCAGAACCAGCTTTGTGAACCAGACAGGGGCTCTAATATCTGTCATTTGACAGACAGAAACCCTGACAGCACCAGGGAAAGACAGAAAGACAGTGGTGGATAGTGATGATGGTGGTGAAGCAGTGGCAGCAGTAGTTGGCAGAACAGAGACAGCATGCAGGCAGTGAGTGGTGGCAGCAGGAGTGGGGTAATCAGGTGCATCAATCAGGCCAAAATAGTTTAATCTGATTTTAGCACCAATGCCAAGAACAAGCTTTATATTATTGGTGTTGACCATAACACACTTACAGTGCACCATTGCCATAACAGAGTCTATATTACTCAGTGTAATTGTTGATGCTATTGCTAAGAGTGACTTACACTCAAACAGAGCATACAAGATTGCTTCAGCTATCTTCTGAAGTGACTCAATAGTAGTACATTGCCAGCAATATTCATGTTCTTGATGACAGGGCAAAGTAATTTCCCAAACTAATTACTGAAACAGGGCCACCAGCAAGATTAGCTCAGTAGAGCTCTGGAAGTGGCAGATTTCCTTAATCACATCTATTTTCACCAATTAGTATCAAGACCATTACCAAAAATCATTACTTTTTGACATACAAGTGCTGGCCTTTTAATTTTAAACAGAGGAGCAGAAGTGAGAATTCTCCTGGTCAAAGTTGACCAGATCAACATCTTTATTAGCTTTATACTAATTGCTCTTCTTCAGAGCCCATTCTTTCAATACAGTCTTGTGCTGCTTCTCTCCAGCTGTGCAAAATGAACATGCACAGGAAAAACTAACATCTTGTCAGTAAATAATGTGCACCAGAGCAGTATTCTGCAAGCACTCATCTCTTAACACAATCTATTTTATTGCAGTATATGTTTGTTGTATATGCAGACATCAAAGTACAGTAAATAAAAAGATGGTAAGAGAGGGGAATCATTAATATTAGCTCTGAAGAGAAAGAAGAAGAAGAGAAAAAGAAAGAGAAGAGAAGAGAGACTGATCTGATATTATTATTCTGTAGCCAGTATAGCAACAACATATTGATCTTGCTTATAGCAACATGCCTGTAGAATGTAAATAATGTGTATAGTAATCATTCTACAGTACTTGATTAATATACTCTATAATTCCATTATTCTGTAGCCAGTATAGCAACAACACATTGAGCTTGCCTATAGCAACATGCCTGTAGAATGTAAACAATGTGTCTAGTAACTATTCTATGCAAGTACTTGATTAATATACTCTATACTCTCATTATTCTGTAGCCAGTAATTCAACTCATCACATACAATCATGAAGATGGGGCTAAAACAATATTTAATAAGAGAGAAGACCTATACAGTACAGAAGCATCACCAGGCCTTGAAAGATCATTAAAAAAATATATTCAAGACAGAAGAGGCAGATCACAAGGCATGTCATGATATGCTGAAGAGAATCTGAGCAAAACATAAGTGGTATGTACCCACAGTGGTTTGCATTGAATTATATTAACATTCATTGCAGGCAGAATAGCAGCAAGGAGGATCACAAGATAATTAAAAATAAAGCCATTGAAGAGTTAATGGCTAAGCAATTTGTCAAGAGCAAGTTAAAGAAGTATCATAAGCACCAGCTCATGGTCTCTCAGCAAAAGAAGAGGGAGAAAGAGAAGAAGCATTATCAAGAAGAGACTACAGAGACTGAGAATGAAGCTCAGCAGAAAAAGAAGATAGAATTCAAAAGTAACAAAATTTGATAACAGTTCTGATATATTTAGGCCAAAACAAGCCAGGTACAGCATTCTATTGCTGTATATAGAGAGACCCAATTCTGTTAAATGATAGTCAGACTTGAGGCCAAGATCATGGCCCATGATTATGATTATCTTACTGCAGTCAGTGTATCAAGAAAGAGAATTGAGAAGAAGATAAGAGAATTTCTGAGCTAATTACAGAGTTCAAGTGAAGACAACAACAGCTCACCTGCTCCAGAGAAGATGGAGAAAGATGATTTTGAGATTGTGGTATTCTCTGATGAGAATGATGAGAAGGACAATGAGACAGAGAATGATTGAATTATTGATATCTAGAGAAGAAAGTTAGGTTTTTAGTTCTTTTTTCATATTAATTTGAGAATGGCATGGCATTAAATTGGCAAAATGTTTTATTTTCCTGAAGAAGAATGTTCTATTTTGTAGAAGAAGAAGATTTTGTAGTTGATTGCTGTACTTACAGAGTAAAATGAGACTAACTATCTAGAGATTGTCAAATTTTGCATGGGCTCTGACCACATTTTGTTACTTTTTTGACTAAGGCAGAACTTAGAGAAAAATTAATTTAATTGTGAAAAAAAAAAAAAAAAAAAGAAAAATCTAATAGCTGAAGCCAGCAAACAAGCAAAATCTATGGAGATTTCTTCAGAATTGACCATAGTTCAACATGAAAAAAAACAATTTATATTGTGGAAGGAGCTGCATTATAAGTTGTTTGTTACTTGATGATTGACTACTGAAGCTGCTTAGTTGATTAATGATAAGAAGCATGGTAACCCCAACTGAAAGATAAAGCAACATCATTCTGATTTTTGATCAAAATTTGATCAGATGGCAGAGCATTCTAAGAGCACTTCAGAAATAATTTACAAGCATTGCCAAATCTTTCTCAGTCATTCAAGCTTTTCTCAAAACAGTACAAGTGGTCTGCAGAAGCATTTAACAAGCAAAGATTGTACAAAAACTGGTGACAGACAGGGTAACACTCTGATTAACATGATGGTAGATCATGAATTCTAATTTCCCAAATGTAACAAATTTTAGTAACAGTTCTGATGTCTTAGCAGCAGTTTCTAAAGCATTCTCAAACAGATTCAGATCTGTTTGTTTCTAAATGCAATCAAGACAATTTTCTCCAGCAGCTTGTGCAAACATTAATATTCTTGAATCTCTTATTTCATGCTATTGAGAATCCAGCATTTCACACATTAATAACCATGCTCAATCCTGCAATAGCTTTACAGATACCCACACAAGAAACATTATATCAGGTCATGAATGATATGTACAATCAGCTATTTCAAAATCTTGTCTTTAATCATGACCCAATAATCAAGATATCTCTGGCAGTGGATAATTGAACAAGTCCCAATAATCTTGTCTTTATAGCAATTAATAGTTATTACATTACAAAGAATTGGAAGTACTGTGAGCATTTACTGAATTTTGAAAGTTTAGAGAGTGCTCATACTGGCAAGAATATGACAGAGATTCTCCAACAATTACTAGCAGCATGAAGACTTGAGAGCAATCTTCTTACAATTACAAGTAACAATGCATCAAACAATGGTACCATGTGAGCACATCTTACACATCAGTTGAGGCCAGCATTGCAGCAGTTGAACAAGACAACTGATTAAAATACAGAGAGTGAGATAATACTCTGTCTTGCTTATGTGATTCAACTTGTGGTTCAAGAGCTGGTTTGCAATCTCAAGATTCAGCCAGACAATAATGCTCTACCCACTATCTTTAATGAGAGCTCAATTACTGATAATCTAGCATCAACAGACACATTTGCAAATACTCTTAGAAAGGTAATAAAATTTGATAACAGTCTTGATATACTTGAGTTGATTTACTAATCTTTGCTTGATAATAAATTCATCTTGTTACTAATACAACCAATACCTTCCCCCAACTTACTGCACATTTTCAAGAATATCAACAAGAGAACCAGCACAAGATGATTCAAGATGTTCACACAAGATAGAATTCCATCTATAAGATGTGTATTTATGTCTTGTTGCTTTAACAAGCTGTAAACTCATGGATTCAGAACTCATCACCAAAATACCAAAGGCTTCACTTATTGGATCATGACTGAAAGCAGCTAGAGTAGATAGTTAGACTGTTGCAGCTATTCAGTCAATTTATCAAGATACTGTCCAAAACAACAGGCTCAATAATTCATCTAGTATGAGCAACATACAATCATCTTTTCCAGTATTTAGAAAGAGAGAAGGACAAGACCCAACAGTTGACAACAAGAGAGAACATTCAAGAAGCTATCAAAGCTGCCAACTTGAAATTCCAGAAATACTATAGTGATACTGAGCATTCAAAGAGTAAGCTGCTAGCTGTAGCTGCTGCTCTTCATCTATTACATCACATAAGAGCATATGATTCAGAGAATTGGACCAGTGATGAGCATGAAACATACCAATAATATATTTTGAGGTTTTACAAAAAGCATTATAAGAAATATGAACAGCCAAGAGAAGTAATACTTGATGTGAATGATGTATGTTTGTTATAAGTATTATTCTGATTTCTTCTCTGCTAACTTCTCTAGAATATTGAGTAAATGATTTTTGAAAGACTCTATTAAAGACAAGCAAATTTCCAAAATGAAATGAAGTAATATTTAAATGACAAGAATTTGACATCATCTTGAGCTCCAATTCTGGAACAGTGGAGGATGCTAGAGCCTGATTTTCCAACTGTTACTCAGATGGCAAGAGATATTCTGGCTATATCTTTAACAGGAGTTGGGGTAGAACAGGTTTTTAATATTACTTGGGATACATGTTATTATCAACAATTACAGCTTTATGCATCTACAATCAAGAAGATCATGCTGCTTAAACATGGAGATAAGATGCATATGCTGGATGAAGCACCCATATCACATGAGAAGTTGGTCAAGAAAGTCATCCAAGACAATCAAGATGATCAAAATACTTTAGAGATTATACAGAAAGAGATTGCAAGCCTGCTAAATCTACTACTCAATTCAGATGAGGAACAGGAAATACATCAATATTATCAATAGATAGACTCAAGTAGCTAATAGCTTGCAATATGATCCAATTATGCAAAGAGCATTACCAAATTTCAGTACTTTTCCAAAGTTGAATAAATTGATAAAATTATGTTAGAATCATTACCAAATTTCATTACTTTTTGACAACACAAATGGGACCAGAATTTCTGGTCCCATTCTACACTTTACTGGTCCTGTCCCATATACAATATTGAAATCTCAGTCCTATCTCATTTTGTCATGTCAGGTCCTGGGCCCATTCTACTAGCTAGATTTTGATTCCAGTCCCAATTCCATCCCAATTCCAGTTCCCACAGAACTGTCCCAATATGCTGTTAAACAATCCAGTCCCATCCCATTAAGCTGAGCTTCAATCTGATCCCATCCTTGGGACAGAAATTGGGACAGGAATCTGGGACTGGAACAGAAAATCCCAGAACCAGATACCACTCTAGACTGGAAGATCACTAGTACATTTGATAATCTGAAAAACATGACAAGATACTCAAAACTCCCAAACTTTGTACAAAACATGATCTTTTATTTGTTTTCTTTTTTGATTCTAATCTAATGGTAGGCATCATATAGATCTATCTTGGAAAACTAGCATGCTTCTGCTAACCAGCTCAACATCTTGTCTATCAACAGCAAAGAGTAACAGTTCTTCACTGTAATTACATTAAGATCACAATAATCAATATAGAGTCTGAGTTCTTTATTAGACTTGAATACGAACAATACTGAAGCCTCTGCCAGACTTTATAAAAGATATATCCAACTCTTACATAACTTGTTCTTGATGTACTCTTGTAGAATCTCTGTCTGCTTGAGTGATAGTTTATAGATTAATATGTACAGAGGCTTGCAGCTGTCTTTAAGAATAATCAGATAACTGATCTTTATTAATTTAAGCAACTCTGTTACTTTTTCTTCTGAGAAAATATCTTTATATTCTCTCAACCACTCAGGCACTTCTGTCAGAACTTGATTGTCATCTGACATAAAAATAACATAAGAAAGTTTATTCTTAATATATACTGCTCAGAGAAATCTATCTGCATTCAGAAGTTCTACTGTTTTCTCTAAAGATTAGTAATACTACATCTTGTTCTTTCAGTCTATGTCTGGATTGAAGTCTTCCAACCACAGCATGTCTAGAACTATATCTATGTTAACTATATTGATTATTATAAATGTACATCTTACCATCTTTGTGATTCTCATGGAGTTTATTATAGTAAGTTGGATCTTGTAGATGCTGTACCAATCAGTCTCAGCTCTGTTCAACATTTTAATGATTTCCATGGGCATCTCTGGTTAATTCCAGTTCAGTTGAAACACCAGTTTATAGAAGATACTATCTACTATAGTACCTGAGTCTAACAGTACAGCTTGCTCTATAAGATCACCTGACAGTATAGTCAGTATGGCTGACAGACACATACTATGCCAGCTTGTCTTCTTTATTGAGTTAATATTCCATCTTTCTAATATTTGACCTGGATCTTGCATGGGCTTTGCAGTTCTAGTTTTCATCCAGTTCTCATTCTTTTTGTCTGTCTGCTGGGACTTGTTGAAGCTGTTCATACAGAACTTTACTCTATAATCTGATTGATTATATCTTAGACAGAGCTCTTTGTTCATTTATTATTTGTATTTCTCTTCTAATATTTTTAGAAGTGGTTTCACCAGTGTCTTCTTCATTCATAAATAATCTTCTTTATTGTCTTGTTGGAATGCATCTTTCTCTTAAGAGATTGAGATTTTCTATTTCTTCTTATTTTGGTTCTTGTTCCACCAACTTTGCTTCTCCTTTTCTAGAATGAACTCAATAAGCATTACTTGTTCTTATAATTCTGCAACTATTTTTGGTTGATTGTAAGGATTCACCATGAACCTCTTACATGGACAAACAGCACCTGTGAGGGCCAGAGGCCTCAGCTTGCAAGCTGCTGGGAGCTGCATGTGTTCTTGCAAGACACTAAGTCATGTGCTTGCGAGCACACATAAAAGACTGTCACTGTGTGAATCTCTCGCCAGGAGCTAGTGGCAATCTTGTTTACAAGTTGTATATAGTCACCAGAATACAGATCTTTTGTTTTGTGTACTCTTTTTCCATGTATATTCCTTCTAGAGATTCATTGTCATGCTGATCCACACGTACAATCCTCACATTGATGTTGTAATTTATCCAGCTCAGTTCAGATAATTAGTCTGAGCTTTGTCTGTAGAAAGAGTATGCAAAATGATTTATCTAATAGACTGTCCAGATCTTGTTCAAGTTTGGCAATGTACATGAAAAATGAGAGTATAGATTAGTTCTCTTGTTGAATAATGTTATGATAATGCTGCATCATGTCTTAACTATAAGTTATCTTGAGTTCAATATCATTCTTACACCACATCTCAAATTCATTTCATGACATGGATAGTTGTTCTCTCTTTATTTCCAATATCTGCTAATGTATCTGGAGTTTGTCACAAAAATAACTGGATGCTTAATCAATTCTGATCACATCTGGTGTTTTTTATAATGATTTTCTTAGGCAAAACTGCTGTCTTATTGAAGTTAACTATAATTTGCACTTATCAAGTGATTTATCATGGTAGTAAGATGCTTTTGAGAGCTTTACATCATCAAAATCATCTGACTTCTCTATTGGTTGTGTGTGTAAGAGAAACTCTAAAGAAAAATCATCATTTGCTATTTTCTGTTTATATTCTATCTGCTTCTGCAGTCTGCATATCTCATTTTGTTTATGTATGTCTGCTAGATTCTTTTGCAGATATGTTTTCTTTTCTTCAAAGATCTTCTTCTCTAAGATTTTGTCGAATGTATTAAGAGGTGTATCTCCATTGTCTGTATTATTAGCTGGTGTTTTGCTGATAGTGACTCTACTGCTACCAGCATCTTTATTAATATTCATTTTCTTTATGTTAATGTTTGCCTCTGTTGGGTCTGCAATATAGAGTGTTGTTGTGGTTTATCTTATAGATCTTGATAGCATCATACCAACTTAGACAATCATATGTTGGAGTGTTCAGAATGTTAGAAGAACCAGTTGTAGATCATGTAAGTTTTCCCAGAATTAGAGGTACAAAAGAGCTAAGTAGGTATGATGCCTGCAACTGATGGAAGGGAGTCATGCATAGAATATAGAGGTTCTCTAACTAGAAGACTGAATGCTGGAGTTTTCATGATTTATTTGAATTATATGATTCTTATACATTCAGAGTTGAGGTCATGTGAATACTCCTGAACATCTGATGTTGTCTGATGCTTGGTTGGTCTAGATCTATATTTGTAACAATTTCTCTTTAAATGAAATAGCTTTATTTTCTATTTCATTTTCAGTGTCTGAGAATTCTAGAATACGAGTTTTCTCTACTCTTTTTTCTTTAGTATACTTATATGCTTTAAAAATCTCTTTCCCTTGAGCATTCTCCTGGAATTCATTTCAACAAGATGACTTTGCCTCTTTAATAGCATTAAAGTAGTCATTTCTAGTTTGTTGAAAGAACTCTAAGCTAATTTGCTTATTTTTTAGTCGTTTAAAAGCTTTTGTCATAGCTTTTCTCCTGACTTTTAGCTCATTATTCCACCAAGGCTTAGATTTTTCAGTTATCCTCTTTTTGGGAATATGTTTCTCAATGGAGATTTGAATTAGATTTCTTAATTTAATTGCTTCTAATTCAAGTTCTGATGGAGTATTTTCTATTGAAGTCCATTGAAACTTGTTATGAAGCTTGTGGCACGGCAGCTAAGGACCCAGGACAATTGAATGAGATCTGACAAGGCAGAGTCACAGACTGTTGTGGAGAAACCTTAGAACAGAAAGTCATGTGATCAGCAATAGGACTGATAAGTTGACCAATTGTACTGAGTGTGATAGAACTAATCAGAGAACATAGCAAGCATACTGCAATAGGATGGATAGAACAGCTTAGCAGGACTATCACCAGAAGAGCATCATGTATATAAAAACACTCATTACCAGAGATCTGATAAACTTGTTCATTGTGATTAATCTTCTTACCTATCTTACAGATACCTTTGAATCAGATACTTTCATATCTTGATTACTTTTCATACCACTGAAGTCTTGTGATGCTGTATGATTGTACCTAATCCTGCTACTTTTGAGAAGGTATGATAGTCTTGCCCTGACTTTGATATACCTGCACAGAAACTCTTTGTCATCAGAGCAAGACTGCTCACTCAACTGGAGCACTATTGGATTATTGATTACTATCTCCAATCTGTTGTTGCTCTTTTTGAGTCCTTTGACACCTTCAAAAAACCTAAAGAATTCAGGGAGATTCTTTATTGAAACTGTTACATATACAACACATTAATCACTCCTGACTCAGAAGAGAATACACCTGAGATCTCAGAGATTGTGTACAAAGAAAGAACTTTCTGCATCACATCAAGTGTAAAGATATGATTTTCACCCCATGTCAAGATTTAATGAAGTATAGAAATCATGTCTGCATCCAAAGCACCAGCTGTCAACACTCAAGACCTTATAAATAGGATCTTGCAGCTTGAACAGATTACCAAGAGGCTTGGAGAGCAGAACTGTGAATTGAAAGATTATAATGAGCAGCTTGAGGCCCAGGTCATGGCCATCCTATTTACTGGACAACAGAAAAACAAAGATAAAGCTAAAGTCAACCTACTGAAACTCTTCAAGAATGAATAAGAAAAATTATGAGCTTTCTTGAAACAGCTGCACATCTACATGGATATGAAAGACAAAGAACTCAGTAATGATAAGAATAAGATAATAATGGCAGCATCATATCTTTGTGAAGTAGCATTTGATTGGTTTGATGTCTACCTGCAGAATTATTACAAAAAAGATGAAGTCAATCAGAATAACAACATGATTAAGATTATTGATAGTTACAACATCTTTATTTGGATGTTGAAAACCACTTTCAGAAAAGTTGAGGAATGAAATGTAGCAGCCCAGCAGTTACACTACATACAATAAAAGATATCACCACAGAACTATGTCATGAGATTCCAGCAAGTCTCTGTCAATACTGATTGGGACAATGAAGTCTTAGCTGACACTTTCTACCAAGAACTATTCAATAAGATCAGAGATGAAATAATGTGATTGAAGAAATGATTATGCACTCTGACCAAGATGATTGAAGTAGCAGTCAGAATTAGAAACCAACTTTACAAACAAAAGATGGAAAAGCAAGAAAAAGTGCCATGAAAGTGATCCAGTTTATTAAATCACACTGGAAGTTGAGGCCAGAGCAAATGTGTACAACTGGACTCTTATGGACACACACCCATGGAGCTGGATATAATGAATTGACATGCTTGATGAGAAAAAAAAAGAATGGAGAAAGAAAGAGAAATTATACTTCTATTGTGCTAAGCCTGGATATCAAGCAGAGCAGTACAGAGCAAAAAAAGCAGATTAAAAAGACAAGAAACTCAGAGCAATCTCAAAAAAAAATAGAGAAGACTCTGAAGTCAAACAATATCTTTAAGTAACAACTCAGAAAGAGCAAATCAAAGAAGAACTCCAATAATAGTTCAGGAAGATATTTGAAGAACAAGTTATAAAAGCTTATCTGAAACTACTCCAGCAGCTGGAAGACAAACCAAAATGCTGAAATCAGCTGAATGACAAGAAATGGGAGTTATGCAAAGAATTATGTGTGAGAATGAGAAGTGAATCAAGTGATGATTGGGAAATTCAATCACTTGACTGTGAATACCACTACAAAAAGAAAATAGGTGAAATTCAGAATCCAAAGCACAAGAAACATGCTCAGTACCTGATCTATAGATATTCATGCAAGCTTCACTGGAAACAACAAGAAGAGTTTGAATAATGGACATGGGTTATGGAAGACTTCATATATCATGGAGACTATAGTTATGACATCAAGGATTGCCAGCATTGCAAATGCAACACTGAGAAAGAAGAATGGGAAGTGCCAGACCTACAGAATACCTCATTCATGGAACATTCAGATCATGCCAGAATTCATTGGAGCTTTTGCTATAACAATAATTGCCCTATCCACAGAAATGGAAAGAACAGCAGATACTACCCATGACTACTAAAGAAGTTGTGAGTGACTTAGAAACAAGACCATAGTGATAACAAAGAATATTGGTCAAGCAAAGAACAGACAACCACACCAGAGTTGAAGAAAGAACCAAGTTGGAAAATACTAGAATTTGAGGAATACAAAGAAGATGTCTTGAAGAAACTCAGTCTTATGAAAAGCATGACACATGAAGAGGCAAAATGTTCAATGGCAAGAATACTATAGACCCAAGACAACCAATTGCACTGGACCACATATGAAGAAGAAAATGAATTACTAGTAATAATAATATATGAACAGCACTGGAATGAAAAACAGAAAGAGATGGAAAAACTGAACCACTCATGCCATAATAAATTTGAGTATGAATGCCAATGCAAATTTCATGAAGGTAAAAGATTTTGAAAAATAACAAGATTCCTGCATGGTTTGGAAGAATATAAAAACTGCACAGAATGCAAAGACAACAAGTATGTGTGGAAAATGCACAAGAAATAGTGTACTGGTGGAGATAATTGCAAAATACACAAACAGACACTTAAGATGACTCTTGTTAATTCAGAAAACAAGCAAGCTGCCATGAATGAGAGTCTGTAAGCAGTATGAATAGATAAGTGAAACTGTTAGCTATTAATAAATAAATCTGTCATCTCAAAGTTATAGTAATCTTACTTGGATCAAAGCATGCAATAATTCTAGTGGACTCAGGTGCAACCAGACTATTTATTGACAGAAGATTCACTAAACAAGCTGGTATTGTAAAGTGAATGAAGAAATATCCCTACCAGTTATTGGAACTCAGAGGAGGAACTCTCAATAGAGTTGAAGAAAAGATATATCTTATTGAAATGAGAATAGAACAACATCATGAGAAAGTGCATTTCAAAGTGACAAAGTTAGAGAACTATAATATAGTCTTAGAATACTCTTGATTGAAACAACAGAATCCAGAAATTGACTGGCAAGAAGAAAAGATTAGACTGACAAACTGTGAATGCCCTCTTAAACCAGTACACTATAATTGGAGACCTACACTCAGAAATGACTTAGGTGAGACACTGGCTGTAATAAGTAAGGTTAACAGAAAGATACTGCATAAAGAATAATTGATCAACACAGAAGAAATCTATGGAAACCTGACCCATAATAACAAAGTGAATTGAGCCACAAAGAACCTCAATAACTTGGAGCAGCTGCAAGTATAAAAGAATGACTAGAATAAAAAGATCAAGAAAACCCTACCAGAAGAATTCTGGGAATACATTAATGTATTCAGAAAGAGAGATTAAAGCAACAGTTTACTGAAGCACAAATCCTGGGATCATGAGATAAAACTACAAGATGGAAAACAACCAGCAAAATTGCCAATATACAGATTGAATGAGAAAGAATCAGCTAAAGTGAAAAAATACATTGAGAATAATCTCAAAAAAGATTACATTAGAGAGTTGATGTCACTGGCAGAATATCCAATACTGTTTGCACCAAAAAAGAACAGAATCTTATGACTATATGTGGATTACAGACAGTTGAACAGCATCACAGTCAAGAACTGCTATCTGATACCACTGATTGAAGAAGTGCAAGACAGATTGAGAGAAGTAACATGGTTTACTCTAATCAACATTAAAGATGCCTACCACCAGATATGAATCAAAGAAGGCAATGAATGGAAAACAAACTCCAGAACAAAATACCTTGATGATGTGGTTATATTCATCAAAAAAAACTGAAAAGATCACGCTGGAAAAGTCAAGAAAGTACTGGAAAAACTACAAAAATACAATCTACCAGCAAAACTAAAGAAGTGTAACTTCTTCAAGAAGAAAATTGGATACCTCAGACACATTATGTCAACAGAAGAAATATGAATGGAGCCAGAAAAAATTAATGAAATACTACAATGGCCAACACCAAAGAAAGTCAAAGAAGTTGAGATATTCTATAGACTAGTGAATTATTACTGACAGTTTATACATGGATTTTTGAAGAAAGTGAGACTGCTCACACAGCTATTCAAGAAAGATAAAGTGTTCAAATGGACAATGGAGTGTCAACAAGTGTTTGAAGCAATAAAAGACAAGTTCAGAAAAGGAGAAATGAGATGACACTATAATCTGATAAAGAGATGTGTGATTGATATGAATGCATTGGACTATGTGATAGCAGGAAGATTACAACAACCAGATGAGCAAGGAAGACTATAACTAGTTGCATGCTATGCAAGAATGATGACACCAGCTGAACAAAACTATAATATCCACAACAAGAAACTACTTGCAATAGTGGCATCACTAAAGAAATGGAAGATTGAACTACAAGAAAATCAACACCAGACAGAAATCATCTCAGATCATGACAATCTGTGATACTTTATGATAATCAAAAAGCTTATAAGATGACAAGCCAGATGGTATGCAGATGTACTAGTACACTATGACTTCAGAATATAACACTGCAAAGACACAGAAAATGTCTGGGTGGATGCATTAAGCTGAAGACTGAATCTTATAAGAAAAGAACAAGATTTAAGAACACTCTTCAAAGAGTTGGAAGAAACAAAAAATATGATTCTGGACTGACAAACATTAAGAGTAACAAGAATCACTACAGAAGAATTAGATATCAAAGAAAAAATCAAAAAAGCAATAAAGAAAGATGAATATGCAAGAAAGATTGACAAGAAAAATAAGAACTTCAAGAAAGAAGAAGGAATGATACTATATTATAGACTGATATATGTATCCAGAAAGGTCAGAAAGCAAGTGATGGTACAAGAACATGACATAATCACTGCAGGACATTTTGAAATTGACAAGATGATGGAGAAAATCATAAGAACCTATTATTGGCCAGGAATGTAGATGGATATTCAACAACATGTCAAAGAATGTGAGATGTGTGTGTGAAGCAAAGCCAACAAACACTGACCATATAGAAAGCTACAGCCAATACCACAACTGCAAGAACTATGGAGATCCATAGTGATGGATTTCATTATGAAACTTCCAAATTTGAAGAATATAGAAGAGAAGAAGTACAACTCAATACTAGTGGTTACTGACAGATTGATGAAGTACAGATACTTCATACTGTTCAGAGAAGCAATAACAGCACCAGATTTGGCACTGATAGTACTGTAAAATGTGCTTGCCAACTATGCAATGCCAGAAGAGATAATTACAGATCAAGACACCAGATTCATAAGCAAATTCTGAATGATACTGATGGCACAATTGGGAATTGAACAAAAAATGTCAACAGCCTATCACCCACAGACAGATGGACAGACAGAGTGACTGAACCAAATCTTGGGACAATATCTGTAAGAATATGTCAACTATCAACAAAACAATTGGGTTACACTACTATCCATGGCACAATTGGCATACAATAAAGCAAAGAATGCCACTACAAGAATGACACCATTTTACATGAACTATGGCAGAGAACCAGAAATACAAAAATAACCAAGAATTGTATAACAAAAGACTCAAGAAGCAGAACTTACAGTAATACAATTATAAGAACTGCAGAACCAGATGAGACTGGACATTGAATTCCTGAATAAGAGAATGAAGCATTACTATGACAGAAGGTGTCAGAAGACATTAACTCTGAAAGAGAGGGAAAAAGTATTTCTAATTTGATAAAATATCAAAACCAAACAATCAAGTGAAAAACTTGATTTCAAAAAATTGGAACCATACAAAATCATGAAGTGGATTGGAAGAGTCAACTACAAACTCCAGCTACCCAAAAAGATGAGGATACACCCAATATTTCATGTCTCATTATTGGAGAAAGCACTGCTGCATGCCAGAGAAATGCCCATGGAGATTAATGAAGAACAAGAATATGAAGTTGAACAGATACTAGATCATCAGAAGATCAGCAGAAAACTTCACTACTTAGTGAAATGGAAATGGTATGATATCTTGAAAAACATGTGGGAACCAACAGAAAATCTCAAGAACACCTGAATGATTGTTAAGATGTATCATTAATGATGCCTTTACTCAGCAAAGCATTAACAAATGAATTGGAAACAACTGGAAGAGAATCTGAGAAAGAAAAATTATTTAATAAAGCAAGCAGATTTTAGATGTCTGCCTGCTCAGCTACTCTTTTCTGCTTCTTCTTCTTAAGGTGTTTCAGGTCTTTCACAGACTTTGATTTGAACTTGAGAAATTTACCAGTCTGATCACAGAGTAACTTTTTCTGCTTTTGAAGATAAAGAAGATGAGAGAGAGTTTCTTGCTCAGTGTGCTCAAGCCTATTCTGAGCCTCAAACACTTTCTGCCAATTGGCAGCAGAAGACCATCATTGTGAATGCAATGATGACCAGTGTGAACACACTTGCTATACTGAGAAGAATGACTTGACTTTAGACAAGTCTTACTCAATGAGGAACACTGAGAGCAAGGAGAAAGCATAATGAATCTGGATTGCTTGATGGCAAAAAGAAGATTATTCTTGTGAATGTTAGAAGCAGATGACATGGTGAAAGGGAACCATGGAGACACTCACTAAAACAAGAAACAAGGGAAAAATCTGAAAGCCCACAAAGAATGAGAGAACACTCTTTTATACTCCAGGAAAGAAAGCAGAGTGATTGGGGACAACACACTGTGAAAGAAGGGGATAATGTTATGAAACTTGTGGCACAGCAGCCAAGAACACAGAATGATTGAATGAGATCTGACAAGGCAGTGACATGAACTGTTGTGGAGAAACCTTAGAATGGGAAGTCATGTGATCAGTGATAGAACTGATAAGTTGACTGACTGTACTGAGTGTGATAGGACTGATCAGAGAACATAGCAAGTATACTGTGATAGAATGGATAGGACAGCTTAGCAGGACTATCACCAGAAGAGCATTATGTATATAAGAATGCTTATTACCAGAGATCTGATGGACTTGTTCATTATGATCAATCTTCTTACCTATCTTACAGATATCTTTCAATCAGATACTTTCATATCTTGATTACTTTTTATACTACTGAAGTCTTGTGATACTGTATGATTGTGCCTGATCCTGCTACTCTTGAGAAGGCATGATAGCCTTGCCCTGACTCTGATATACCTGCACAGAAACTCTTTGTTATCAGAGCAAGACTGCCCACTCAACTGGAGCACCATTGAATTATTGATCACTATCTCCAATTTGTTGTTGCTCTCTTTGAGTTCTTTGACACCTCCAAAAAATCCAAAGAACCCAGGGAGGTTCCTCATTGGAACTGTCACATACACAACAAAACTCTTCTTTTTTTAAATTTTGAAGAAGAGATTTATTTACTTCATCTCAATTAGCTTTCTAAAAGTTATATTGATTTGAATAAAGTGGATTTTCAACAAGATTTTCAGTACTTAGTTCAATACTAAATTGAATAATTTCACGATCAGAGCCAGAGTGAAGAGCTTCATTAATTCACCACTCATGTATCTGTTGAGTTAAGTTGGTGGAGAAGAAGGTCAAATCTATAATTGATTTAGATGATAGATTTGATCTGAAGAAAATTTCTCTGTCTATCTTGTTAAATCCAAATTATTCTTCTCAAGCTATTCTACTAGTTTTTTAGCTCTAACTGAATTCACTATATTTGAATTCCACCATAAATGGTGAGCATTCATATCTCCAGTAACAATAGAGTATTGAGAAGCTGAGATATTTACTAGTTCTCTCTCAATAGTTCAAAGATTTGAGTTGTCCTCTAGATCTTTTTGATTATAGATATTTATCAGTTGTATGGTTTCAAACTGATTGTATTTATCTTTAATATCTATAACTAGAAGATCACTACTAGAGCATATGTCAGATCTTAAGCAGGGTTGATATCTGAACTGTTTTCTAGCAAAAATAGCTGCTCTAAATCTCAAATCTTTGTTCCCAGGAAGAATGCAATAATATGCATTATGAGAGACTGTAAACTGATTATCTGAGCTCATCCATGGTTCCTGAAATAAAATATAATCAATTTTCTTTTCAAACCCAATATCAAGACATATATGCATTGACTTTTCATTTCTTCCAACAATATTCTGAAGAAAGGTCAATTTTAAAAAAGTATTTGAAGTTTCATTTAACATAAATTAATAAATGGTGCTCTAACTTCAATCTTCTTCTTAGAGATTACAACTTGATTTTCATCTTCAGAATGTGTTTCATGAGATCTCTTAGAAACAGGTTTAGTTCTGGAAAGATTCTGCTCAGCTCTTACTAGTTGCATTGATTTACTAGTATTTTGTGCTGAATAGGTGGATCTTTTGAAGAAAACACACTCTGTACTTTTAGCCACATGATTTTCTAGACAATTAGCACATTTTAATGTAGAGTGTATACATTTTCTTTCAGTAATCTTACAAATTGAGCATTCATGCATACTTGTTTGATGTTTTTGAGCACAGATATCACATCTAGCTTCTTTTTTACAGTTTGGTGCTGTATATCTATAGATTTGATAGTTAAAGCATTGCACAGTGCTTCTAAATCTTTTTGACTGTTTATATTTACAAACTTTAAGATTTTGTCCAGCAATCATAACTGTTTTCAGATTTTCAGCTATTGTAGTATTTTGAACATGAAAGACAGCAGATGCATGTCTTTTCTGTATTTTATTTTCAGCAGAAGATAGCCAGATTGGGGTTCTTTTTAAAGAGATAGAGTTAAAGATTTCTACCTCTTCTTTTAGAAGAGATAATTCATTCTCTATATTGAAGATCTCTGTAGAGATATCATGAACTATAAAGACTCCCCAGTGCTTATCTTTGTGAATTTTCATGCTCTCTATATCAAAGTTCATTAGATCTGAGAATATAGATATTCAAGTTTGCTTGTGTTTTTGAAGAAAATCAGCTGAAAAGTCTTCTATTATCATTAGAATTAGAGATTGGCCTTTAAATAACTTAGTAATTGAAGAAATGACTGGTTTTTCAGTAATATTTACTTCAGTAAAGCTGTCATTTATTCTATTTCTGAAAAAGAAAGCTTTGTTACTGATTTCTTCAAGTACTTGAGTATTTACCTTGAGAATTAGTCTTCTTTCTCTAAAGAGTTTTGGCTCAGAGAACTGTTTTTTATCTTCTTTACCAGTTACTTTAAAGAGTTTTGGCTCAGAGAACTGTTTTTTATCTTCTTTACCAGTTACTTTAAAGAGTAAAGAAGATTTGACTGAAGATTCAGTATTTAGTCTAGTTTTTAGAGCAGAAGAATATGATTTGGAAGCATTACTAGCAGATACTTTCTCTTGAGAGCAGCTTTGTAGAGTATTACTACTGTCAGTAGCTACTTTTTTCTGATTTTCAAGCTGTATAAATCTTTTCTCAAGATTTTGAAGTTCAGAGTTCTTAAAAACAGTAGTATCTTCTTGTTCTTTAAAAGAGAAGATTTTTTGAATACTCAAGATACAAGTATTTAGTTCTTTTTGCACAAGAACATGATTCTTCTTCTGAGATTCTTTAGCAAGAAGATTAAAAATTGACTTTAGATCTTGCTGTTCAGATTCAGAAGAAGAATCAGAAGTAGAAGATATTTTGACTATGTTTCAAGAAGTATCTTCTTGAATAAGAAAGCAGAAGATAATGTTCTGAGGTTATTTTGTATCCCACTTGCTAGTTAATCCAAACTAGTTCAGTTGTTTTACTGAGAGTTGAAAATCTCAATGTAGTAGGTTTTTCTTTAGCCAGAGCTATATCTATTAAATTCTGGACTAGTTTTTTAAGAGAACTAGCAAACTATATAGCTTTTTTTGAAGACTGTGATTACAGGAACAGCTTCTAGAGTAAAAACTATGGAAAAACTATTGGGAGAGTAGAGGGCAAGAGGGCAAGCTAGTAAATCTAAGAGATATGAGTAATTATATCTCAAGAATCAGTTAAATTAATACTAGCAAGTACATTTTTTGAAGAGAAGTATCAAACTAAAGAGCTTTTTGCAGAGAAGCTTTCAGAAACCAGCTGAGAATATTCTGAAATTTAGTAGTAAAGACTTACATTCAAGATGCCAGAGCCAATACTATAAAAATAAGGTATATTCTGAGCAGAAAAGTGAGAAGGGCAGCTGGTTTTTTCAGATGTAGCAGCACCAGAAAGCTAGCATATCTTTTATCAGATGGAAAATGTAGCAAACTTGTTAAGTCATTAGAAATCTAGCTTGATTTTTTTCTTAAATGCAGAAAAATTAATAAAAACTGCTTTGATTTACAAGGTAGTCTATATCATAGCTTGTTCCTAGTTCAAAAACTTAGTTACTATAAGTATTTGCAAAGCTATTTTTCTCTAATTAATTCTAATTTCTCAGCTACCAAATAGTATAGAACATACTAGTATTTAGTAAAGATTGGTCAGAATTTGCAGGGATCAATTTGGCTTAGCTATACCAAGGGTATCAAGTTGATAGAGCTGATTTAGTGCTGGCATGAAGCCTGGGGAGCAAAGATCAGATAAGAAGAGGCAGAGAGATAAGATGTGAGTAGATAAGATAAGATAAGAGCTCTAGCTTTGCTTGACACACCTCAACAAAATGTGAGTAAGCAAGAGTCTTGGCAAGGAAAATCAAAATAAAAAAGTGTCTTGTAAGAGATTTTTCAGATAAAAGAGTATAATAACACAACAAATAGTAGAGATATAGTAAAGAGAACTTGGTAGTTGGTTTAAAGAGTGTTATTGAGCTTGTCTCTCAAAATCCAGATGAAAAGACCATGTGGTTGCTGAGTAATAGTGTGAGAGGTGTTTCTAACAGGCGTGAGGCTGGTACCATTTATTTCCACTTATATCTCCACAACTGGCAGGACAATTCACATGAAAATTGGAGAAATTGTTAGGTAGAGAAATAGCTTTTAAATGAATGTAGCTTTATCTAGTTTGAACAAGAATTGACCAAGTTGTGAAAAGAGTGTGGTTGAAAACTGTTAAGATACTGTTGATTTGCTTGAATAGAAGAATTATAATATATATACTAGATATATGAGAAAAGAAAT